TATTAGGACAGGCAGAGTAGAATCCAGAATTCGTTACCTAATATCAAAACTTGAAAATATAGAGAAACTTGCTTTGGCGCACCCTTTTGTGAAAGGGTTTAACAAAATTCATCATTGTGTAAACGATCAAATGGTGAAGGATGTAATACATGGAATTTTTGATTCAGCGTCAATCAATGGGATTAAGAGTAAAAACAACGCTGAATTATCACAAAATATACGAAATGGTGATACTGACATAACGACTATTCGTGTTTTATATACTACCACTTTTTACGTTGGTCTGGAAATTGAAAGTAAGTTTTATTTAAACTTTTTATTTTCATTTAAATTATCAAATTTTTCATTACTTTTTTATAATTTTAGCTGGTACTATGTTACAAAAACAGTTAGATATTACATGTCCAACCCAAGAATTTATAAATTTAGTCAAAGGTTGGAATAAATACGATGAAAAATCTATGGATATTAATGTAAAATACGTAAAGAGGTATTGAATCAAATATTTTTTTGTTTATGAATTCACCGCATGTCTTATACAACCATGATTTCGTAATATCTAGTTCTGACTTGCCACCTGAGGTATTTGAGGACGGCGAACGTTTATTAAAGCACAGGCATATTCACACTTGAAAATTAAATAAATGGGGAGCATTTATTTTTTGGCAGTTGACCTAAATTTAACAAGATGTCTTGTCGTAAGGTATTTATTTATTTATTAATTGTAGCATATTTTCGATATTAATAAATATTGCTAACTATAAAATTATAAATTTATTATATGATCAAATATTAAATTAATATAGATATAATTGAGCATATTTTACCGTCAGCCAGGAAAAAAGTTTGTCTCTGATGGTAAGGGTTGAAATTATTTATTCTTAATTAATTAAATAACAATTAATTATTTTTTATTGATGTTTAATTGATTAATTAATCGATCGTATTTTATAATAAATTTAATAATATATAATATAATAAAATATATAAGATTGATCGAAATTTAAATGTCTGATTAATCTTTTTTTAACTATTGAAAAATTTTAATGTTAGCTATAGATTATATAATATGTATTTTTGAATTGTAATTAATGATTATCTGTTATGATCATATTTCAAGCATTAATCATTTACGTAATACTATAATATTAGTGATTTTACGCAGGGTGAAATTCGCAAAACCCACATTGGTTATTTATTAAAACATAAATTTTTAATATAGATATGTAAATATGATATGGACACGTGAAATATATAAAATCCGATAATGGGTGAAATAAAATCTGCTATTAAATAATTTTTTTAAACTTTGAATAAAGATATTTTAACAATAATTTGATCAAGTTTGATAAAAAAAATTGTTTATTTGAATTTTATAAAGTTGTAGAAGAGATTTTTCTAGTTCTAATAGTAGTTAAATTATTAAAATCAGCTTAGTATATTTCAAGATAGGATTTACAAATTACTAATCATACAAAATATAGTAGATATCGTCTAATTATATACTATTTGTCAGCCTTTATGCATATAAACAGTATATGCAATTAGACAGTAATAGTAAATTATATAATATTAGTTAATCAATTAGAATTATCAATATTAGTTTGCTAGTCAGAATTGTGTTCTGGTTTAATTTAGAAATAAATTTACAAATTTTGTCTAAGATAATTAAAGTTAGTAACCATGGTTTGGATTTTTTTGAAATATTATATATATAAGATAAAGAAATTGGCTTTTAATTGTTGGTTAAATATTAATTTTAAATAGTATTTCTAAGTTCAGTTTAGTTTAATTAAACCTGAACTAAATTTTTTTTTTTAAATCGGAAGTACCAGAACTTTATATTTAAATTAAGTATAAATTTTCTATACTATATTCCTGTTCTAATAAAGACTCACTCGGCATTAAAGCCCAGGTGCAACCTACCTAAGCAGCCAATTTGCTTCATATTGGATTCTTAACTTACTGAGGATTTGGTTTCTTCAATCTTTAGCTAGGAGCTGCCAACCTTGTCAAACATTACCATTTTTTCTTCATAAAATTGGTCCAGAAAGACCAGTTTGGTTTGATATTTGATTGTTTTCTTTCACTATATTTAGAACCCACTTTTCTTTTTTTCGAGGGTTTTTTTCAGTCTTCTTTCTCTGTGGCCCTGTTTGTTTTATTCTCTGATTCTTGTATTGGTCTCTTTTTCCTTGTTGTCTCTTCTTTTCTTTTTGCTTCAGTAGTAATTCTGTTTCTTTTTTCCTAATC